TCCCCGAATCTTACCCTCGTCTTTTCTCTCCCTTTTTCTCTCATTCTTTCTATTTTGCTCTATCCATGTTTGATCATTTATTTATGTTACCACTTGTTTGATACGTACAAAATGTTAGTCGCTTGAGAAGAAAGAAAACAAATAATTTTTGTGGGTTTTTTTTTTTTTATTATAAATCAATTGAAATACGTATATTTTAAAATGTGTACTTTCGTGTTCTCGAACATTTTTTTTCTATCATTTAAAGTCCTGATATTATGAATTATACTATTGTTCGACAAAATGAATATAGAAAAAAGTGAAGTCATAAAAAAAATATTCTCATTGGATATCACGATAAAAATAAAAAAAAGATAGAAGACTGTCGTTTAAAAAAAAAAAAAAAGAAAGAAAGAATATTATAAAAAAATCAGTATTAAAAAATAAAACAATATTGGGTTATCTGAAAAATAAAATGTCATTATCTATTAAAAATGATGAGATGATAATTGTGCCCATAATTATGAAAATGATCTAAGTCATATATCTCTTGTTTCGAGATATTTAAAGATTTATACTTAAACATTATATGAATTCTATATAATATTGAAATAACAAACATTATCTAACGATTCATTCATTTTTGATAATATCGTTTTCAAATGACATTGAATTTATTTAATTTATAATAATGTAGTGCATAATAACTAACTGATAAACTCATTTTTTTTTTTATTAATTTTGACTTAAACCACTTTCATCATTATGGGCACAAATTATTGTAAGAAAGAAAAAATAAAACAAATAATTTGTCGCAAATGGTGATAAGCTTTTTTTTTGTTAGATGGTAAAAAGGTAGAGGAGGGTTCAAATTTTTATATCATTTAGGTGTAATACTATTTTTAGTATCCCCCTCTACCAGTTTTATCGCACACCGTCGACCTCTCGTATTTTCGATCGATGATGTCGCGTATCGTTCGAGCACACGGCTTACGATATTCTATTCTCTCATTATGCTCGCGTGTGTGTCCCTGACGAATAGAAGAAGACTCTACCTTTATTCTATCCTTTTCTCTCTTTCTCTTTCCACCATCCTCACCCCCCACCTTGTAGAACAGTTGAAACACGCGTGTCCGATTCTACCACAATACTTCTTTCTCTGTCTTTCTGTCTTTCCTGTTTCTACCTTTCTACCTTTCTATCTATCTATCTATCTATCTTTCTATCTTTCTATCTATATCTCACTCGCATGCTAGTAATATACGTCAGTCGTTTACGCGCTACGCTCGTCGTTGTCGGTAGGAAATAGTATCGATCCAAATGATAATGTGTTCTATGCCCCTGACGCCGATTGTCTCGAGCTCGTCAACGAAGATACCAAACGATACACGATGATCGATTATTTCTCGATCGACAAAAAAATATAAAATAATAATAATAATTACGAAACGAACAAAATCATTCATCCCTAACGTATATCTCCGTAAACTCAAAAAGATCAAATATTAACACGAAATTTTTCAATAATATTTCATTATCAAAGATATTATATCGTCCCTAAGATTTCACCCCTTTTTGTTTTTAAATCATTTCACGCGCACAATATTTGTTTATGTTGAATAATATATACAGTAAAGAAAAAATTAATATAGAGTAGAATCGATATTATTTAATAATATAAAATAAAATAAACAAAAATATTACGCATACAATATTGTGCAATTTATCACCAAAAAAAAATAAAAGAAGGAAATCAACGTATAATTATATTTTGATAACTTAAGAGTAATATTTAAAAAATAAAATGAAAAATTAGAAGATGTAAAAATCAAAAATCAAAGTTCGATGTAAAGAACAGAACAGCGTAACGTTAAAACTGTAAAAAGAATAAAACGAGGAAGTAAGAAGGAGGAGAAGTAAAAAAAAAAAAGGGGTGAGAATGCGAGTGTGAGGGGTGGAACGAGATGTTAGAAGGAAGAGGGTCGAGGAAAAAGAAGTTAGTTCTAAAAAAAAAAGGAAAGGATACGTGTATGTGTTTATACGTGTATATGTGTGTATAAGTAAAAGTAGTTTCGTGTGTCTTTTAAAAGAATAAAGAAGAATGGCGTCGCAAGTGACAGTGTCCAGAGAGAGCTATTAACGATCTTCTTCGCCACGTCGCTTATCCACGTCGCGTTGACACTTCGACGATGACTCTAACATAAGCGTACGCTCGAAGTTTGTAGTGGTTATCGATTCTTTCAGAACAATGGCAACTCTGACCAGAGTAGTAAATGTGAAAGAAACAGAAACACGAGATGGAAAGAGAACGAGAGAGAAATCATCACGGAAATGATAAATATAAACTTGTCGTTAAATAAACAATAACAAACATTGATTAGATTATTATGATAAATCTGAAAATGATATTATTAAGAAATTATTAACAATTATTCAATCTTGTTTCAATTATTTTCATGAAAATTATAATATAAGATATAAATGTAACGAACAATATGATAATTGCTAATATATTTTAATATTAATTATTATTTTGCGATTAAATTATAATAATTGTAAAAATAAATGTAAAATAAATAGAATTATATTTATATATTTATATATATTTATTTTTATTATATATTTATTAATTTATTATATATTTATATTACGCATACAATATTGTACAACTTTATCACCAAGTAAAAAGAAAGACATTTTCGTGACGAATTAATAATTTTTATTTCAACGTATAATTATATTTTGATAACTTAAAAATAATATTTAAAAAATATAAAAAAAATTAGAATATATATATATATATATATATATACACCAATTTTACACCATGGCGGTGTTCCTAATGCCAGTTAATAATATTAATAATATATATATATATAATTTAATCACACAATAATAATTAATATTAAAATAAATTAGCATATATCATATTGTTCGTTACTTTTATATCTTATACTATATAATTTTCATGAAAATAATTAAAACGAGATGAATAATTGTTAGTTGTGAAGTGAATAATAGATTTTGTCAAAAAAAAATATAAAATAAAATAAAATAAAATTACATAAATATAAAAATAAAAATATGATGATGATAAAAAAAACAAACAAATAAACTAAAAAAGAATTATAATGTTAATTAGTTTTATATATATATATATATAATGTTATGAACCGTAAATGGATAAACGTATGAAATGTTAATGATAATGATAATGATATGATATAAGTATGAAACGTTTTGGACGTTAATTTCATTGACAAGTCAAAATCAATAGTCTAAGGGGAAATACGACAGGCTTCGTATCGTTCATCGACGTGATCCTCTTGATGAGAATCTCTCTTAGCGACGTTTATACATATAATCTCGTGGAAACGTCAAAGGTAATATTCGGTTATAGACGGGCCAGTGACTTTCACAAAAGCATATCGTAGGTAAAACCTCAACGATCTAGTCGTCAGCAGTAATTTATCGCGTCTAGGAAAATTACCAACGGACCAACTTTAATTCACGTTTCTCTGACACTGCACAACCACATTACTGCATAACCATTATTACTACTTACAAGAAGATATGGGACTTTGCAAAAATAAACTACACGATTCTCACATTTCTATATTCATTTATCATCGTGTTTTCATTTTCATCCCTATTTAAGGGTTTATAAATAATTCAAATTAAAAATAAATGTTAAAAAACGTACAGATATCATTTTCTTATTTTTTTTTTTAGAGAAGTTATGGGAACAAAAAAAAATATAAAACACATTGAAACAATCGAAAATATTAGTGAGGTGTATTAAAATGTTCGACATACCTTAAATGATTGTTAATTAATCGAAACAAATGTAAATTGTAATCAAAAAGCACGAAAAATAAGTTCGATGAACTATCCTCTTCGAAATTTACTTTCAAACTGACACATTGTCATCTGTGAGAGTTTTCTTATTGAATGTTGTTTACATGACTTTCGGTATAAGAAAATTTCTATTTATTTCGAATATTACGTTCTTTATGTATATGTACCATATAAAGAAAGTCATATAAACAACATTTATAATAATAACAAATTTTATTGAGAACAACGTACCAATTTTAAAGTGAATTTCGAAGAGGATCATATACTCCGAGATTTTAAATAACAATATACATTCTTTTCGATTAATTAACAATTATTTTATTATTCTAATATACTCTATTAATATTTAAGATTGTTTAAACATTACATATCTATTATCGTACTTAGAATAATAATTAATTTTGATCTTATGTTTCATTAGATGAAAATTGTACCCATCATTGGTACCCTATCATTAGTGATGACGGTAAAAGAATGAGTAAAAAAGATAAAGATAAAGATAGTAAAGATAAAGAGAAAAAATACTTTAGCTATAGGTCAATTATTTCCAGGTATTTGAATCGAACGCTACAAAACACACGTTGTTCGGTTATCGTCTTTTATGCTAGCGAAACCTAGACTACCTTCCTGAGTATTTCTATGAAACTGACATCCACCTATATAGTCTCCTTTCCAACCCTTCGTTTTTACATGCGAACTTCTTGTGTTAACCGTTTTATTGGTCTGCATTAAAATCGACTTTGCTAAACGTGTTACTACAGTTATTGTATTATCAAATGTAAAGAATAAGAACAACAACGAAACATATTGAAAATAAATACCAATCGTAATTACAGGAGACCAATTTAATAAATAAATTAAAAAATAATTGAAAGAATTTAATAAGGAATATTAATCAAAAAAAAAAAAACATTAAAAAACAAACAAACCATATAGAAAATAGTTAATAAAATATGGACGCATAATTTGAATGAATTTGTACGAAATCGATAGAATTACAAAAAAAAAAAAATAAAACAACACATGAGATGCATGTGTGTGGGTGTGTGTAAAAAAATAGTAAAAATTAATTTGATTTGTTTGAAATCTTCTATTGACATTTCATTTATGTTATAGTTGTTGTTCTATTTCTTTATTGAATAATAATTTCATTCTAAACTTACCCCACGCGAACGTAGTGTGATCTTTGCACCGCAACGTGCACAACACCGGATATGGCAGTAGTTGCAGTTATGACCAATGCCATCGGCAAACTTGGTTTTCATGCACACTTGACACGTTGCATTTAATTCAACCCCAGCCTTCTTGTGTTTTTCCGAGCGAGCTCGTATCGTTTCTTCGAGGACCTGTACCTCGTCCTGTTTTCGTCTGCAAACATAATAAACACATATTGGACGTTATTAGAAAAAAAATACGAGAAAGAATTTGTGGTATGAATGAAAGAAAAAAAAAAGAAAATGAAGAGTGAGGAAGTAAGGAAGGAAAAATGTCGATGAAAAAGAAGAAAATTGTTAGAAAGAAAAATCGAAATACAAGAAAATATCAATCGTAGAACGAACTTCAACCATTCCAGACGAGTATCCTTTTTATTACTTTCTTTTCGATCTATTCAAATGCAAGTTTCAAATATGCCTTAAAAATCTAATAAAAATCGTCAACAGATAATATTTCTTTGACGAAACTTTTGGATCCTTTTAGAAAAAATTAACAAAAAAAAGAAAAAGATAAGAAAAGGTTCTTAGAATCTTACTCTTACAAAATTTGATAGAAGAAGGAGGTAATATGTAAATTATTCGACTGATCTATCCAAAAAAATTCTATTCAATTAAATATATATATATTTATATTAAAATTTACTATTTTTTAATAATAAATATCGAATTTATTCAATTAAATTAATAATAATAATAATAATAATAATATTTTAATAATATTTTTAATTTATCTTATTAAATTTAATTTAATTTTTTTATTTAATATATATCATATCTAAGTTACTAAATTTTTCCACTAGGACAATACCCTTTATATTCGAGGTAATATTTTCACATTACTGTATATAGGATATAAATTATATAATTATAAATTTGTGTATAAAAATATATGAAATTGAAAATTATATTAAAAAACCTCTTCTCTAAAATTTGATAATACCTACGAGAATCCTATATATATATATATAGAATAATACTACCATATTTTTTTATACAAATTTGTTGGGAAGAAAAAAAAAAAGGTCGTTCTTCGATTTACGTAGAAAAAAGAAAAAAAAAAGAAGGAAAGAACAAATCAATAGGCAGGCACGCGACGGAAGTACGAGAATTATAGTTATTTTTATATTTTTTCTTTCTTAGTAACTTTTTAAACAATAACAAGCAAAGCAAATAACACCCCATTCGAAATTGTATGTATTATAGTTATAGGTATTTTCCTAGAATCCTTTGACCGAGGTAGGCTTACGTCCTCGTTCAAGGATTTCTGTGAGTCGACTCATCGTCGTGACGTCAAAATAGGCGTCAACGGTCCTACGAATTCCTCTCACCCTCTTTCACCCTCTATTTCACCCTCTCTCTCTTTCTCTCTCTCTCTCTCTCTCTCACTATCGTTCCCATTGAACCAATTTAGTCTCGGTGTATAAGGCGTTGGATAAAAATTAAACGAGTACTAGGGACGTCGTTGTCGAACGTGCGTCATTACGTGCCTTATCTGTTGCTCCAGAATGAAAATATTCAAATACGTCAGGGATTGAGATACACTTAAGGTTAATGAAAGAATCTCTATTTACGTCAAACGAATACGGCCTTTCAATTTTCATTCTAAAAGAAAAACTTCAAGAGAAAATATTCTCCTTACTTTGTTGTTGTTGTTGTTGTTTTCTTTTCTTTTTTTTTCTTGTTTTTTATCTGTGACTATTAAAAATTATTTGTCAAGAGAAAATACGAAATTGAATGTTTTACAAATTTATTTTGTAAAGAAGAGAAACATCAAAGATAAAAAAAGATGAAAAGATGATGATGATGTTGATAAAATAATCCTCRTCTTTATTCAATTTAATAACCCACACCCATCCCTTTATTTTATTCGATCATCTTCCATCGAATTATTTCAATTATTTGTTATACGATATACTACACATATTTGTATTTCAATATAATATAGCAAAAACAATGGAATAAAATCAAAAATAAAAAAAAATGAAAAATAAAAGATGAAGATGACAAGATAAATATCTCTCTCTCTCTCATCCTATTTCTTTTTTATCTTCGATCAATTTCTATTGGACTCTATCGAAGTTATTTGTTACTAGAGATAAAATTTGTTTTYTAAAACTCATGCAACAACAACAACAACAACCCTATCTATACAAAAAGAAAAAGAAATAAATAAATAAATAAATATAAAAAAAAAAATGGAGCAAAAAATATTAGGAAAAGGTACGAAAAGAGGAACTCGAATTTGTGAGAGATAGAAAAGCACGGTATAGAAAGGTTTGTTGCGGGGGTGTGTGTAGGGGAAAGGGGAAATAGGGGGTGGGGGTGGGGGTGGCTGAGTGTAATGCCTCGAGGCAATGACTCGAAGCGTATCTAGAAAATTGAACTTTATTGCACGATTTATCTTGTAATATTTCACGCGTTCCATTCCTCTGTACTTTGTTCGCGTGCACGCGCGCGCGAGCACACAAGAGAGAGAGAGAGAGAGAGAGAGAGAGAGCTTTTTATCGCGTTTCATTTTTATTTTGTCCCTTTTTACGTTCCATACTTTTTTATATTTCTTTTTTTTTCGATCTCTTCCTCAAAATCGGAATTCGATTCGATTCGATTCGATTCGACTCGACTCGACTCGACTCGTTTTAAAAATGTCACCGGTGTATCTTTTTTTTTTTTTTT